CTCCAGCTTTTTTCTCTAACCCAGCAGTTCCCCAAGCAGGGTCCCTGCACCAGCAGCACTGGTATCAGCATCACTTGGGAACTGGTTAGAAATGAAGATTCTCAGGGCGCCTGGGTGGCTCCATCGGTTAAGTGTCCAACTTTGGCTCAGGCCACGATCTCACAGTTCGTGGGTTTGAGCCCTAAAATGGGCTCTGTGCTGACAGCCAGCTCAGAGCCTGGAACCTGTTTTGAACCTGTGTCTTCTTCTCTCTCTGACACTCCCCTGCTCATGCTGTCTCTCTCTCTCTCTTTCTCTCTCTCTCTCTCAGAAATAAATAAAAACATTAAAAATTCTTTTAAAAAAAGAAATGAAGATTCTCAGCTTCTACTCCAGGGTGGATAAGACACACAGGAGTGGCACCCAGCAATCTGTGTTTTAACAAGTCCCTTAGGTGACTGTGACCCATTGAAACTGGCAGAAATAGCCACAACTGCAGCAGCTACCCCTAAATGAGTGTCTATTATGCGCTCAGCATGGAACACACGATCTCATTCATCCCTATAACCGAGGAAACCTTCACTCCACATGCCCGGCGCTGGACTAGGTGCATTCTGGGCATCATGCCACGTATTCTTCATGATAACCCTTTGAAGAACTTACTATTTCCCCATTTTACAGATGAGGAAATGGAGCCCTAGAGAGTTGAAGCCATTTGCCCAAAGTCACACAGTTAAGAAGTGGCAGACACAGGATGAAAATTCAGGTCTGATGGATTCCAAAGACACGTTTTCTCTGTCGCACAACGGATGCTCCCTGGGGTCTTTCACAGCTACAGCAGCCTGAGAAGCTATGAAGTCAGGTCAGGTAAGACTCAAGGAGGGGAGGTGGGCATGCAAGAGAGGGCGGAGCAGAAGGAGCCCAGACTCCACAGTACCTTCCAGCAGTACCTTCCAGCTACGTGATGCATTTAAAGGCACAGCCACCTATATCTAAGGAATAAAAAAGACAGGGATTCAGGAGGCCTGAGTTCTTGGCCTCTCTCTCTCTGACTTTACACAGCTGGAGGGCCTTTTCTTTTCCCTCTTTGGACCCAGTTTCCCCACCTCATATTCTACCGTCTACAAGGTTGAGTGGTCTGCCCCCCTCCCCCTCCCCCGCTTACTTCTCTGACCTTATCTCCCCTCATCCATTCTATCAAACCACATTTTGTTCCATAAACACCCAAACTCACATTGACCTCAGGGCCTTGGCACCAGCGGTCGCCTCTGCCTAGATCACTCTAAGCCCTCATATTCCTTCTGCTGACTCTTTGTCATTTAGGCCGCAACTCAAATGTCACCTCCTCAGTGAGTCTTCCCTGACTACCTTACTTATTGTTATCTGCTATCCCATCAGTTTTATTTTCATTTCACTTAACACAATCTGTAATTACTTATATTTTAACTGCTTCCCTGTGTATTGTCTGTATCCCCCACCCCAGAACATAACTCCATGTCTGCCTTCCTCCCCCATATATCCTCAGCACCTAGAATACTGTTTGGTACTAAGCAGCTAATTAAATATTAGTTGAATAAGTAAATGCCAAAGACAAAAACCTGGACTCAGAGGCCAGAGCCCTGGATCCTGACCATGTGACTCTGGCAAGACATTCTGCCTCTCTGAGCCTCAGTTTCCCTCCCTGCCTAATGAGGGGAAGGACTAGATGCTCTCCAAGGTTCCTTCGAAGAGTGCCAGTCTCAGGAAGTCAGGCCTAGATCCCGCCCAGCTGGTCCATCCAGAAGCGGCAGCTGGCCAGGGTCCCTGCAGCAGCTGCCCCCTCCTCACCCCCACCCGTGTCCCTGCCCAGGCATGCAGTCACCTCACTCCCCCATCGCAGAAACTGTTAATGAAGTGCGCACTGCTAAATGCAGTTACAATTACGGGGGCTAAGAATAAGGCGCTGACATCAGCCACGTCAGTTTCCGAGTGAATCAGAAAGGGAGGAGGGAGGAAGGAGAAAAGGGGAGGGGGGTTGGCGCTCTAGAGCTGTCAAGTAGAAATAGCACAGCGTTAAATATAATCCAGCACTGGCCTACATCGGTCTAGAGAGGCAGGTGACGGCTCGGCCCCCAGGGCCAGGGCAGACAACTGGATTCTTCAAGGAGGCCAGGCAGCCCCGTGATGTGGACCGTCCAGGAAATGATGGCCAGAAGGGCAATCCAGAGGACTGGGGTGGACTGTAGTGGGGTTACAGACCCTGGAGAGGCACATCTGAATCTGAACAGGACTCCACACCCCAGCCTCTGTCACTTGCTGTTTTGTTAGCACCAGCACAGCCCCTAGGGCATACATGGCCCTCTCCCACCTGGAATCTCATTTCATGCCAAGAGACAGAGGGTGGCCTCTAGAGTCAAACAGGTCTCAGTGTGAATCACCACTGTGTAACCCAAGAAAGTCATTAAACTACTCTAAGCTGCTTCGCTTTTCCTCATCAGCAAAATGGGTACATCTGTAACAGTAGCTACCCCTTCTGGTTGCTATAGAATTCCATAAGATCAGGGAAAACACAGAGCACAAACAGGACTTTCAATCATCTTATTTTTACAACCCTGAGAGATGCTAGACAGGATATTTAACCCTTTTTCCAGAAGAGGAAACCGAAGCTCCGGAAGCTTAAAGGACCTGTCTGAGGCCCCAGAGCCACAGTGGAGTCCAATCCTAGCCCCGCGGAATCAACTGGTAGGAAAGAGAGAGGATTGCAATGCGGTCACTCCAGGTAACTTGGGGGGGGGGAGAGGGAGGCGCTGGAGCTGTGACAGTAAGACAGGGAGACTGCAAGTAGCCCCGGAACAGGGTGGGGGCACAGATTACAGCGCAGGACGTGTTTGCACCCTTTTGAGCACATCCTCCCAGACTGGCACCTCTCCAACAATTCTTAAAAGAAACGCTGAAGCGATGGTTGTCAAGGCCATAATGAAAAGACGGTAGAGGAGGCAAAGTAAAAGGCCCAGAGCCTGGAGAGAAGGTCAGCTGACACGGAGGCGCTCTCACACTCCCGCTCTCCTCCACACCTCCGCCCCGCCCTCACTCAGCCTGCCAGGAGGACGGGTGGGGAGGGAGGCAGCGCACCACCCGCAGAAGGAGCTGAGCTGGATGGAGCCCTCCTTTCCGCTTCCCGCTTCCCACCAGACAGGCCTCCGGCAACTGCTAACTCAAGGAAGCAGGAGCCATGAATCTGGCTGCTTGGGGACAGGGGAGAGGGGGTGCCTGAGGGAGAGGGATTTAAGGAAAGAGCTCTCAAGGCATCAAGGCAGATCTGTAGGGCAGAGACCTGGGTAGTGGGGGAAGGAGTGAATCCCCATGCACCCGATTCTTCTGAGATGCTTCTTTTAGACTAATTTGACTCAGATGAAGTAGCTTGGGCCCATACTCTCACCCCACCCCGTGACACGAGCCATGGAAAAATTGGTTCAATTCTTTGCCAGGCCTCAGTTACCCCAATATGTAAGAGTTCTGCCCAACTCCCCAAACATGCAGGAGGCTACAGCACTTGGTGGTAAATTGGGGGAGGGGACAGGGGAGCCGGAAAGTGGCCTGCCCAAGGAAAAAGGGTGGGAATGGAGGCTTCAAAACCTCAGCCTCACAGCTCAAGTGGACTTGATCCCAGAGGATATTTTCAGGCCTCTCCCTCACCATTCCTTCCCCCTTATCCACTCAGTCCTAGTCTCACTCTGGGGCTGAAGCACTGCGTTCCCACCCACCGACTCAGGGGGAGGGGTGGGACGGCAGGACGTTTTGTTTCTCAGAGAAAGCTCAGGTCAAATTTCAAGGACAAAAGTCAGCCCTTGGTCTGGGAAAGAAAACTCTGTCAAATGGAGTAAATTGGGGGTGGGGAAGGAGGTCCAGCCCTCTCCTTCCAGGTGCCTGGGGCGGGGGCAAGAATGAGAGCTCTAACTCCCCCTGCCGGGATCTGTCTGGCAGGATATAGGCATCTCCGCCCCACAATCCAGGAGAAGAAACTCAGACAAACCCCTCCATTTCCCCCTGCCCAAAACAAAGGGATTGGGGCTTTGGTGCCAGTTTGTGGGACCCATCCACCATGCCGCCCCACCCACCAGATTTGGCCTGAGCAGAAGAGGGCGGTGCAGTGAAGGGCTTTGCAGCCCAGAGATGTGGCCCTAACCGCGAAGCGAGGGACCAGTAGCCGGCCCGGTGTTGCCATGGCAACTTCCTCCAGTGCTGGATCGAAGCATCCTATGGGCAAATCAGAGCTGGCTGCTCCAGCTTCTCCGCCCTTCTCCCAGGCCAGGGAGAACTGGATGCTGAAACCACTTGGTCAGGCTCAGGGACACGATCCTCAATTCCAGCCCCTGATGGTAACAACCGTCTTTGGTATTTGTTGTAAAGTGGAGATACCCATACTCCCAGGACACCCCCCCTTCCCCCGCATGCACCGTAGCAGGGCTAGGACAATAGACGTGATGAAAATTAACTGTTAAGGAAGAACAGGGGAACAGGGAGCTGGACTGATCCCCATCCACTTGTTCCACACATGCAAACCCCTGAAATCCCCCTCTTCAAACCACTGCCAAGAAAGAGGGCCCAACTCTGCCTTAATAGCTATCGCAATTAAATTAGCTTACAAAAATTATGAAAGCTAACATTCTGAGAATCCCACAGATGCTTGTTTATGTTCATGCTCAGAAACAAGTCTTATTTGACAATTTGATTAATCGCTAACAGGTATTGCGAGCCTACCTGGTGCCAGATACTGTACTAAGCCCTTTGCATGGCAAAAACAATGTAATCGTCAAAAGCATAGATGTTTCAGTCAGATGGCTCAGGTTCAAATCCTAACTCCCTCACTTCTTGGCTGAGTGACCTTGAACAAGTACTCTCTGTGCCTCAGTTTTCTTATCTGAAAATGGGGATGTTAAATGTTAATTTTATAGGGTTGCTATGAGAAAAGAATTAAAATAATATATTTAAAATGCTTAGGAGGATGCCTATTGAAAGGTAATAGGTTTAAAAATGTTGACCCTCTGCAGTCCACACTATTATTTTCTCCCTCATCCAGATGAAAAAACTGAGGTCATGTATCTAACTCTCCCGTTAGAAACCCAGAGTCGGTGAGGCTGAGCAATGAAGATATGTACAGAAAAATGCCCCCAAGCCCATGTCTCTCTAACCACACCCCCCCCCCCCCGATAAGAAATGAGTTCAGAGCGCAAGAGGGTACAGAGGCTCCTTGGGAAGAATTCTAGGAATCTACAATGACCAGCATCCTGATTGCAAGGGTGGCTAGAACAGGGTGGGAGGAAGGAGCAGCTTCCTTTGCTCACAAAATGTCCAAGGCTCCCAAGCCCGATGCGGGAAAGTACCCTGACCCAGTTAAGACTAATGAAATAGACTTCTTTTTGCACAGTTTCTCAGGAAACCAGCCGAAGGGGCTCTGGCTCGACCTGGGTGACAAACACGATGCATTCAACAGGATTTGGAAGCAGCATCAAAGAGGAGGCATCTGGATGAGCCAGTGACACACCTCTCAGCCATCAGCCGGCCTGGCATTCCCGGGCCAGGGGAGGGATCAGGGCAAGAGGAAGGTAGAGGGAAGCCAGGTCGGCTAGCCCTCCTTCTGAGGCAGTCTCTGTCTAGCATGTGATAGATTATTCAAACTGCTTTTAGAAATTAGTTCAGCACGGTGCTGTTCTAAAAGAATAAATCCAAACAGCTTTTTTTAGGAGAAAATTAATGACTTTGAGAAGAACAAGAGAAATTAAGCACCAAGACAACGTTTCCTACTTCCGATTTTTACCAGATACTCATTAGTCTTCCGGAAATGAAACTTGACTTTCTCCCTCCCCCTCCCAAAGCATCCCTTAAGATGAGCAGACAATGAGCACAAGATGCCCAAACCAAACTCTTGGCCAACGGCCGTTCCCTGGGGCCTCCTCACCTGGGAACCATTTTCTACACAGTGAGATTTGGGTGCTTTTTTTTTTTTAAATCCTCTTTCAGACAGAGGGTTAGTGGTTTACTGGAAAGAGAACTGGAAACCTGATGTTAGTCTCAGCTCCGTGCCTACCTCATTGGATGACCTTGGGTTACACACACACACACACACACACACACACACACACTCATCCACTTGAGCTCAAAAAGGGGCTGGTCGGGATGATTCCTAGGTCTCTTCCAAGTGCAAAACAAGAATTTGAGGAAACTTGCTGGGAAAAACATCAGGTGGGTCTTTAAAAAAAATCTCTAAGATTACATTGAGGTCTCTATTCTGACTGATGTGAATCAGAGCAACTTGCCTGCAATCAGCAACAATAACCAAGGCATCTGACCCACGACATGGAATATGACTTAGGAGGAAACCCTCACTGTCCCTGCCACTGCCCCTGTCCCGGCTCCTACAAACCCACGCTCCTGCCCAACCTGCCTCCTGAGGCCCAAGTGGCCTGTTGAACTTCAGGAGAGTCCCTGACTATTAAGTGAAAGGCGGAAGCCTCAGCCCACCTATGCTGGTGGGGACCCCTCTGCCAGCCCCCACGCTTGTATGATTTCCTCCAGTGGAGGCCACTGTGCTAGTCCCTCTGTTCCTGCTCTCCTTGCCAGAATAATGACCTCCCTCAGCTACTTCAAGGGGGAAGTTCAGCTTCTGAGCCTCGGTTATGTTTTTTCCCCATAAAATGGTGATTCTGTAAAATGTCTCTGCAGTAACCATCTTCACCCCATCTTTACCCCCAGCTCTAGGTCTTGTCAGGAGTCTGCCTCACATCCCCCCACTCAGTCACTGGGCCAAGAAATTCCTCCGGAGAACCTTTTCCCCACCTGCCTCCTGCTCCAGCAGGAAGACATGAGCACCCATTACCCACGGCTCCCTCCCATGTCTCACCAGATAACTAGGTGACCAGACAAGGGTCCCTGCAGGCAGGGAGTCTTTAAGCAGGACCCATAAACTCCCTAAAACTGCAGACAACATTTGAGGGTGGTTCATATGTGTATTTTTTGAAAAGACAGTCCATATTTTCATCAGGTTCTCAAAACCGTCCACGAAGCCGTATTGCTCCTCCCCACCACATACACCCCTCTCTTTTTGTCCTCTCGCTGAACTCACTCTCAGATGTTCAGCTTCTGTTACATCAGATTTTCAAAAAACATTTTTAACTGCACCGTGTGTCTGAGGGACTGCCATCCCATTTTACAGATGGGGATATGGAGGCTAGGAGTGACAGGACTTGCCCAAGGTCACAGCTAATAAGCAGACAAGCAAGACTGGAACCTGATTCTGACTCCCCAATCTGGCACTCTTTGGGGAACTCTCACCCAAGCCCTCTAGTTACCCCACCTGTTGGTGGATTCGCTACTTCACCGCAGAAACAGATACAGAGCCCTCCCGTTCCCTCTGCCCGATCCCAGGGCCCCAAGAGCAGGTTTCCCTACATCTCCCCGCCCCTCGGGCTCCGGCGGAGGCTGCGCGCAGGCCCGGGAGCGCGAGGTTCGGGCCGCTGGATGGGGACCAGGTTCAGCCCACCCAGAAGGGAGGGCTACTCCAGGGACCAGGGCGCCCAGGGTCCGGGCACACTCCGGAGGGTGCGCAGGTAAGGAGTTGGCGCCGCCCTTCGTCTCCTTGCAGGACCGGCGGGGAGGAAAGGCCGCACCCGGCCAGTCTCCCCGCGGCCCGCCCCAGTCTGATAGGAACCAGGAGTCCGGAGCCCCAGCTTCTGGGGGAAAAAGAGGAGAGGCAAATGGGGACACTCGAGGCCTTGGGCGCAGGGCGGAGGTCTTGGCCAGGGAGCCTCGGGATGCAGGCAAGACAAAGATGGAGAAGTAAGGTCTGCGCGCCACCTCCAACGGCGGGGGGCGCGTCAGAGCCCCAGGGGTGAGGCTGCCAAAGCCCCGCGGGCTCGAGGAGTGGGCACGACAGGAGGGAGGCTTAGGGAGGGTGGCAGGTCGGATCCAGGGACAAGACATGGGGCATCCAGCAGGCTCAAGTGAGTAAAGAGAGCTGGTCCATGCGACCCCAAGGGCCCACCTGCGGGAAAGGGGTGAATGCAGAGGAGCTAGGGGTCCCTGGGGGCGGCTGGAGGCTAGAAAGCACCGCATGCTCTAGACCTTGGGGCCCCGTGGGTGGGGGCGTATCCCGAGCGGGACTGCCAATGGGGTGAAGAGAGTGGCCCCCTCTCAGGGCGCACCCGATCGGGCAGGGGGCCTCCGGCTCCCGGGACCCCCACCCCCCACCGCCCCAGGGATCGGGGGCGGGCCGCGCGCTTACCCGCGTCCTCGTCGTCGAAGGAGTTCATGCACGGGAAGTAGATGGCGAGCGCCTCGAAGGAGGCGGACAGGCTGAGGCGGCTCTGCGAGCGCTCCATGCCGGCGCCGGCGCCCGGCGCCTCGGCCGCGGCGGCGGCGGCGGCGGCGGCGGCGGGCGGCTTGGGCAGCTTGGCCGCCCCATTCTTGACGCGGAGTACGGCGCGCGGCGTGGTGGCGGCGGCCCGGGGCTAGGCCGGGGCTCCGCGGCGGGGCTGGCGGGTGCGGCGGGGCCGGCGGGCGGCGGGCGGGCCGGGAGCTGGCGGCGCGCGGAGCCCGAGGCGCGCTGTGCTCCCGGCGGCGGTGGTGGCGGCGGCAGCGGCGGCGGCGGTGGCGGCGGCGGCGACGGCGGTGGCGGCGCAGCGCTCTGGCCCGCGGCGCCCCCAGCCGGCCGCGCGGGGCGGGCTCGGAGCGGCTGCCGCAGCCAATCGGCGCCGCCCGGGGGAGGGGGCGCTGCGCGCGGGGGCGTGGGAGCTGGGAGGGCGCGGGTGGGGCCCCCTCCTCGCCGCCCCCTGCCCGGCAAGTGTGCGCACCCCGCGCGAGGAGCGGAAGCGAAGGGCTGCGCCCCAGTCCCAGGGCTGTGCCCCCCCTGCCCCCCCCACCTCTGTCCCAACCCCACATTCAGCCCTTAGACTCGTCCTGGATGCAGGCGTCCAGTCACCTACCCAGAGAGGCCTCACCCGGGGGCACAGACAGGATCAGAAGGGACACACTCAGAGCGACCGGCGCACGGCACTCAACCTCCCACAGAGACCCTCAGATTAACACATGAACCCGCGGAGGAGCTCAAACAGGCTCCCACACGACTGCATTCACTCTGCAAGATACACCACAGACACCCTCACAGACTCACACACCCGAGAGATGCTCCCACAGACTCATTCACTCACTCCCGGAGGCGCTTGAGGGATCAATGCGCAGACACCCCCAGACAGACTCCGAAGACCCACACAGGTAGATTCACCCGCGGACACACAACCGACTCACATGGAGACCTGCAGACACGGTGAGAGCCAAAAGAAGGAACCCCCTTGGTCACACAGGGAGACCCTCAGATCCCACACAGACCCACAGAGATGTTCAGACAGGCGCACACACTCCTCACAGACATCCTAGAATTCACACACACAGACACTCGTGTACACTCAGATGATACTCTCAGACCTGCACACTCAGTGCCCCCCATCATTGACTCCCTCAGCCACGTACAAAACGCTGGCCAACACTGGCCGGCTCACACACAGTCACCTTCAGACACAGACCCAGAGAGTCACTCAAAACACACTTCATTGGGCACACGCATGCTCACACGCAGACACCGACATATAGCCTCAGTCAGTCCCAGTGGTGGATATATTCTGATGCACAGACACCCTCAGATGCACACACAGACGATGGGACACACCCCACCAGGATCACGCACTCGTGCAGACGCACCCACATATGCACCTCCAGGGACCCACAGTCTTCAGACTCACACACACAGAGGTTCAGACACCCAGAACCCCCAGGATGAGCATATCACAACCGGAAACCCAAATTCCCATGCTTTGACCCGAGGCCTGAGGTCTCTGTCCAGTCAAGCCCCAGATGTCTTAACCTCTGCCAGCTGTTCTCACACACTCTTTACAAAAGCAGCCTGGGGAATGGCAAGATCCCCGAGTTTCAGTCTCAGCGTGGCACTACCCTTCTGCGTGGCCTAGAGCCCTTCACCTCACTGACCTGTTCCCTCATCTGTATAATGGGGAGACCCTCCATTTTCCATGGTCGTGAGGATTAAGGAAGATAACATGTGTATTAGTTTTCTATTGCAGCATAACAAACTCAGAGGCTTAACAACATCCATCGTGTTACAGGCCTATAGGTGAGAAGTGTAAGCAAGTTTGACGGGGTTCTTTGCTTGGCGCCTCACAGGGTTTGAACCAGGTGAGGCTCTTCTCCGGAGGCTCTGGAGAAGAATCCCCTTCCAAGTTCACTCAGTTGTTAGCAGCATACAGTTTCTTATGGCCGTGGGACCGAGACCCCTGCTTCCTTGCTGGCCTTTGGCTGGGAGTTGCTCTTAGGTCCTAGAAACGGCTCTTCTGGTCCTTGTTCATGGCCTCTTCCCTCTTCAAGGTCAGCATCAGGATGTCAAAAATGGAAGCCAGAGGCTACTTCTCCTTTGCCAAAACAAAAACAAAAAACAAACAAACAAACAGAAAAACACCTTCCCTCGTTCTCATCTCACTCTGGGGTCAAAGTCCAAGTTGGACGTGGTCCTACCTCCTTTGGCTCTGCTCGCTATTTGTCCCACCTCTTACCACACCCCTGGCTCACTCGGCTCCAGACCTTGCTGTTTCCTCTGGCTGAAACACTTTTCCCTCACGAGGGCTGTGTGGCTCGCTCTCATAGACCTGTGCTCAGACATCACTTTCTTGGTAAACTCTTCCCTCACCACCCTTTACAAAGGAGTAACACCCCTTTCTGAAATGCCAAATCCTCCTTATCCTGCTTTGTTTTTCTCTTTAGCCCTTATCACTATCTGCCGCATCATATATGCGGAGCCTGGGCAGCCTAACTCCAAAGCCAGGGACAATGTCTCCTAAGACCATGGCAGAAGGAAGACAGAGGGAAAGCAGCAGTCAGAGGCCTTAGAGAAGGGACAAAGACAACAGAGAGGTCAGGGAAGGCTGGCCTGGAGCTGGGGAAGAAGCCTCAGGGACCCATGAAGGATGTCTGACCAGCCATGAGACCCCTAGGAACCAGCCCCTAAATGTGGAAAGTCATGTGTGCTGGGTAAGCATGCAGAGCCCGCTTGGAGGTTCAGCTTCTAGCTTTTCTACTTGTCATCTAAGTCACTGTGGTGGTTTTAAAACCTGTGTGCACATTCTTTGACTGTCCTCCCATTGAGAAATAGAGTCCCTGTCCCCTCCCCTTAAATCTGGGTCAACCTTAGCGACTGGCTTGTAACCAGTAGAATGCAGAAGAAGTGACATGCATAACTTCTGCAGCTAGGTCAGAAAGTTTCCTGAAGCTTCTTCCTGGCTCACTTGGGTTAAGCGCCCTGGGAGAAGCCAGCCTCCGCATAAGAACCCTGACTACCCTGACACGTCCTTGCTGGAGAGGCCACGGAGGCCCAGTTGAGTCCCCAGCCAACAGCCAGCTTCAACTCCCAGGCCTATGAGTGAGAGATCTTGGGGGTGTCCAACTTTGAGGCAGCCCCAAGTGACATCTGATGGCGACTCCATGAGAGACGTGTAAGCAAGAACGGCTCAAGGCTCAACTGAGCCCTTTCCAAATTCCTGGCCCACAGAATAAATGGTGGTCGTTTTATACCGCTAAGTTTGGGGATAATATTTTATGCCACAATGGAGCAGCGACCTTGAGCAAGCAAATTCACCTCTTCTGGGCCTGTTTCTTCAGTCGTAAAATGGGGACAATGCCTCCCAGTGTGCATGTCATCATCGAGTGAGTAATAAATGTGGAGTTCTTAGAACAGTGCCCAAACACAGTTAGCGCTCTGCAAGTGTGAGCTCCTACGACTGAGGACTGGACAGCCCCATCTGTCAGAGACAGACGTCCAGAGCTGGAAGGAATCTAAAAGGTCATCCAACCCCTCCCCTGCCCTGGAAGAGAGGGAAACTGAGGCCCAGGAAGTGCAAGGGGCTGCCTAAAGCCACATAGCACATGGAGGCAGAGCTGTTGCCATGACGGAGGCCTCCTGACCTGGGCCAGTGCTCTTCCTGCCTTGCTCCAGGTTGCCTGCTCACCTGGCAAGAGAAGCCGGGGGGGGGGGGGGGTGTCCCTGGGGCGACTGCGACAAAGCTGGCAGTGTGGAGGAGGAAAGGCAGCCAACGGAAACAGACTTGGCCTTTGGCCAGCGACATAGGCAGTGGGCTCCTGGTGTGATTCCTCCTTTCTTGGTGAGCTCATGCCTAAAATTCTACCAATAGGGTTTAGGCCTGTGAGGCTTAAATCTGTGGTTCTTTGTAAATATGTAATTTCCCCCGGGTGAAATCTAAGTCGTCCACTACTTGTACCTGAGTGTGGATAATGTGTTCTAAGAACAAGTTGATGGTGGGGGTGCTCGAGCTGGGGGCTCAGGGGAGTAGTGAGTCCGGAAGAGGGAACAGTAGGGAGTCAGGAACAAGCTCTCAGTGTGGGCCTCACAGCCAAGGGAGATGGACAATGCCAAGGGCCAGGCAGCTCGGTGGATTGGAGTCAAAGACATCCTGCCTGCCTTGAGTTTGAGTGCCTCTCCTTACTTGAGCTGTGAACTTGGACAAGTTCCCTCAGGATTCTCATCCACATATGAGTATAACTGGGGCCCCTGAGTGGCTCAGTCAGTAAAGTGTCTGACTCTTGCTTTCAGCATAGGTCATGATCTCACAGTTGGTGAGATCGAGCGAAGTCGGGCTCTGCGCTGACAGCACAGAGCTGCTGGGATCCTCTCTCCCTCTCTCTGCCCCTCTCCCACTCACGCTCTTTCTCTCTCAAATAAATCAAAAAAAATTTTTTTTCATGAGTATAATTAACGTTCACTTTGCCAAGTCCTGGAGAAGAGGGATGTAAAGATAGGACCTGGCAGACAGTAGGTACTTAATAGATACATTTGTTGAGTAATTTTTGAGTCCCCCAAGCTAGTCATCGTACCTGATCCCTGAATTCATGGAGTTTATAGTCCAACAGATAATTATGCCAATAATTATGTAATTATTGCATTATATAATAGTTTTATTATAATAATAACTTTAATTACAGTTGTGATAAGTATCATACAAGATAGATATTTATGTGGTTTATACTGCATGTGTGTGCATGTCTGCAAGTTGGGGGGGGTGGATCTAACCCAGCCTGAGGGAATCTAGGAAGGCTCCCTGGGTGGGTGGGGGGTGGCTTTTAAGCTGAAAATGGCACCATTTATGTGCCTGGCCCTGTTCTTGGCCATGAGTGGAAAAAAATATATACGTATATGTATATATGTATAACCATATGTATATGTATAAACACATGTGTGTATATGTGTGAGGATTAAGAGACAGACCGGACTGGTAAGGACCAGGAAAGAAAAGGTGGGACACAG